AAGTCCTTTTTAGTATGTGCAGATAGGCCAACGGGCCTCTGGAGAGCTTGGCTCCTGGCTGTCAGTTGCCATAGTCTCCAACTCAGCTGACAACCCTGGACTGCTTCCTCTAGCTATAACCAAATCTGCCACACCATTCTGGAGACCAGTGAGAAGAAAGCACACCTCTTTTTTACTCTTTTCCAGGAGCTTCCCCAGGTGCATTCATTTCATCTTCGCAAAATAGTCTTCTCAGACCCCTTTTGGCCCACTCAAACGGTTTTGAAATGAAAGCAAATTGTGCTGTGCCCTGAAAAATTGAAAAGATGTGTACGTGGCACAAGAGTCTCTTGAACCTCTGTGGTGGAATTCACATAAAAAAACTTTCAAAAGAACAGCATCTGGCACAGTCTGAGGGGTTTTGACTACATTTTCCGAAGGAAAAAAAAAGGGTACAAAAGATGTTATTATGGCAGCACCTTTCAAAAGGTACTAATATGCTCCATTTAGGTATTAATATTTACACTTTAGTTACTAATACGTACCTTTAAGGTATCAGTATGCACCCTTTAGGGTAAATAAGGTACAAAAGTTTAACTTTTGAAAAGGTACAGCACAAGTGACAGCTTTTGTACCTTTTTTTCTGAAAGTGAATATGACGTTGAGATTATTGGTATTTGCCAATATTATTATACTTTGTCACATACAGACATTACATATAGGCTAATTCTGTTTTTTAGTTGCGTATGTTGTGAATTAGTCAAACTATATGAGAATACATAGCGACATTTGAACACTGCAACATAATTCGATCTGCCGGAATTTTGTTAGACCTAATCAAACAAAAATGTGTAATATGAATCAAAATAATAATTGAACATTTGTGTAGGATATAGGCTAAGCTAACATGCTAATTTGAACATTTGTATACATTATATGCCAACAGGCTAATTTGAACATTTATAGGCCAAGCTAACAGACTTATTTATCTATTCGCGTAGGGTATTGTCTAAGCTAAAATGCTAATTTGAACAATAGTGTGGGGGTACAGCTAAGCTAAGTGTCTAAATTCAATATCTGCAAAGTGCACTATAGGCTAAGCTAACAGGCTAATTTGACCAATTATATAAGGTATGGGCTAAGCTAAAATGGTAATTTGAATGTTTGTGAGGGGTCTAGCTAAGCTAAAGCATTTGTGAAGAGTATAGGCTAAGATAACAGGCTAATTTGACCAATTATATAAGGTATGGGCTAAGCTAAAATGGTAATTTGAATGTTTGTGAGGGGTCTAGCTAAGCTAAAGCATTTGTGAAGAGTATAGGCTAAGATAACAGGCTAATTTGACCAATTATATAAGGTATGGGCTAAGCTAAAATGTTAATTTTGAACGTTTGTGAGGGGTCTAGCTAAGCTAAAACATTTGTGAAGAGTATAGGCTAAGCTAACAGGCTAATTTAAACATCTGCATATGCTATAGGCTTAGCTAACATGCGGTTAACCAGGAAAACCAAAGCTAACTAAAAAAAATAAACAACAAAAAATGAGAAAGTTTGTAAATGTATTTAATAATGTTTTATTTATTTTAATTTCACTACCGTGTTAGTTAATTACTGTTCTTTGTAAATTTAAAATGTACATCAGACATTTTTTCAGACATTGAATAGAGAGCACCCAATAAAGCATTAATTCAATGACACCATTTTTCCTGGCACTTATCCGTAAATATAGGGTTGAGCAGATGATCGCTGGTTTGAATGGTGCATTCTGGGAATTTATGGGAAATGTTTTACTGCACTGGAATGATTTTGACAACGAAACATTCCTAGAAAAGGTCAACTCCCTGGGAAGTGCATTTGGGATTAAGACACACCCATAGACGTTATAAAGGATTCTCAGTGTAAATTACAGGAATTCTTTGCTTTTCTTTGCGCAAATACACAATCATTAACACCTGAAACCTCTAATAAACTCAGACACACACACACACAGACACACTGCTGAAGCCTGCAGCACAAACAAACTCAACCAACTTTCATATTTTGGCCGAGGAGACTCCCATGGGTGGTCTGTTCCCAGGGTCAGCTATCAGCTGGCACCACATCAGCTTGTTTTTTGCCCAATGTTTTCTTACAGCTGGGCAATGAGTTCAGTTCACACAGAATTAATCAAACACACCTCCCATTTAGAATTCACGATGACAGTTTCCATACTAAAAACGAAAAACTATCAATAACACACAGCCAAAGCCACCACGGACTTCACGTCACAAAATGCCACTAAATTCACAGTGTGACCCTCAGGAGTAGGTTTCTCTGATGGCTACTGTGCCCATATATGGTAAAACAGGAAGTAGCTTTGCCATTCCAGTCTTTTTCCTACTCTGCACTTTCAAGGGAAACTCCTTTTGTGCATGGCTTTTTTAGGTGGCTGAAACCAAACTAAATTCCAGTCCCTGAACTGCTGTTATATTTCTCAGAATAGATTAACAATAGTAGACAGTTAGTATCTTTAGATACACACACCATTAGATGAGATGCACACCTTAATTTCTTCCTTACTAAAAAAGTTTTATATAGTTTTGCTCAAAATTATTCATACCCTTGGTAAATATGATCAAAGAAGGCTGTGAAAATAAATCCGCATTGTTTATCCACTTGATTGTTCATTCAAAAATGTAAAAAAAATCTAACCTTTAATTAAAGTTGAAAAAAAATCACATTATGAAATAAGTATTTTTCTCTAATACAGTAAGAGGAAGTGTGTCTATATCGTCCTAATGCACGGTGAAGAGGAGAGTATCTTTAGATACACACACCATTAGATGAGATGCACACCTTAATTTCTTCCTTACTAAAAAAGTTTTATATAGTTTTGCTCAAAATTATTCATACCCTTGGTAAATATGATCAAAGAAGGCTGTGAAAATAAATCCGCATTGTTTATCCACTTGATTGTTCATTCAAAAATGTAAAAAAAATCTAACCTTTAATTAAAGTTTAAAAAAAATCACATTATGAAATAAGTATTTTTCTCTAATACAGTAAGAGGACGTGTGTCTATATCGTCCTAATCCACGGTGAAGAGGAGAGTTTGAGTGGCCAAAGACTCCAAGGATCACAGCTGAAGAATTGCAGAAAATAGTCTTTGGGTCAGAAAGCCTCACAAAAAAAACAACAAAAAAAACCAATGTTCTTTGGGAGGGTTTCAAGAAAAAACTAGAAAAGAAAACACTCATCCAAAAACAAACTCCAGCATATTTATTTGCTGGACACGACTGGAGCTTTAAACGGGACTGGGTTCAATGGTGAGATGAAACAAAATGGGCCATGGTTGGATCTTCCAACAGGACAATGATCCAAAAACAAGATCAAAATCAAAACCAAAATGGGTCACTGAGAATAAAAGCAAGCTTCTGCCCTGGCCAACCCAGTTCCCTGATCTGAACCCTATAGAAAATTATCCTAGGGCCCAGGAGATCCAGGAGTGAAATGGAATGGGATTGCAGAGATGAGTATCAATAGCCTTTATTTATTTTGTGATTTATGCATTAATTTTTTTTTTATTCATTTTTTTTTTGTCGGTTCTTTAGGGAACCTCTTTTTGGTGTGGGAGGTGTGACGACCCTGAGTGTTCTCCTTACCTGCTGGTGGCAGACTGTGGGAGTTTTGTGTCACTCCCCCAAGTTAATTAATCAATTAATGATAATTAGGGGTGTAGACTATATAGGGACTTGAGATTGTTCATTGAGGTTAGCACTCCTGGAGGGATAGTTCTCCCAGGAGCAGCTCTTGACCAGAATGTGACATTGCTCTGATTTATATGATCTTTTTATACTTTAGGATTTTGTTACTGTTATTTTGTTGTTATTTCTTTTGTTTCTTTCTCACATTTTGTTTGTTCTGTGTTAGCTCAACTCTTGTTGTACCAAAAATGTCTTCGGTAGTCGAAGATTTCTTCGCGTTTCCTTCAGAAATATTACTGGAGAGATGCACAAAGGAAGAATTGGTGCAGATTGCAGAGCGTTTTAGAGTGGAGTTAACGAGTAATGACAAGAAACTTAAAGAAACTCTGATGAACACTGTGAGAAGTGCACTTTATGAGCGGGGTGTTTTAGAGGTAAGAGCTGACATTATTAACCCTGAGGAGTCTTTAACGTCTCCTCTTTTTGATACTGACAGAAATGTAAAGTTTAGAGAGATGTCTTTTCAAGAAAAGCAGCTACGTATTGATGTGGAAAAGCTTCGTGCTGAACGTGACGCTTGTGCTTTGAAAGAGAGAGTTAGAGAGAGCTGTTGAGGTAAAGAAATTACAACAGTTTGAGATGCGAAAATTGGAGTTGCAGTTTGAAAAAGGGGAAGAAAGGCAGTTTCAGTTGAGGAAAATACTTGAGTTAATGACTGCGAAAACTGTTGAAACTCCACTGTCTGTATCATCTAATGAATCAGTCTCTGCGGCACCTGGTTTTGATGTTTTTAAAAACATTAGAATGGTACCGCCGTTTTCTGAGAGGGAGGTAGAGAAATATTTTTCTCATTTTGAACGTGTCGCTGAGTCGCTGAAATGGCCCAGAGAATTTTGGACATTATTGCTGCAATGTGTGTTAACAGGGAGAGCACAGGAAGTTTATTCAGCGCTGACTGTTGAGCAAAGCGGTGATTACGAAATTGTTAAATCCGCACTATTGCAAGCATATGAATTGGCACCTGAGGCATATCGTCAGCGATTTAGAAGTTTTTTCAAATTTGAGAAGTGCACTTATCTTGAATTTGCTAGAGAAAAAGAAAACATGTTTGATCGTTGGTGTACCTCGATGAAAGTAACCACTAGGGAACAGCTTAGAGAACTGATTCTTTTGGAAGAATTTAAACATTGCGTACCGAATGGTGTCGCTATGTATTTAAATGAGCATAAAGTGAGTAAATTGTCGGATGCTGCTCTCATGGCCGATGAATTTGTTCTTACTCATAGGGGTTCGACTAGCCATTTAAATGATTTGCATAGACCTAAGATGAGTGTCTTTGGTAAGAGCAAAGCGACTATGGTACGTCAGAATGTTATTTCTAGTTCTTCCACTGATCATGCTGTTGCTAATACGCGTATAAAAGGAGAGATTGTTTGCTTTTATTGTAAAAAGGCAGGACATAAAATTTCTGATTGTGCTGTTCTTAAGAAAAAGGAGAGAGTTGCTAAAACTGTCGGATTAATTTCTGCATGTGCGAATCATAGCTCTGCCCAATCTGTAAAAAAACAGCCTAAGCAGAGGGATATCTCTGAGGTGGAGATTGAGGATGTTAAGAGTCATGATGATTATGCACCATTTCTTACAGAGGGGACTGTGTCTTTGCCTGGTTCTGAGAAGACCATTTCTGTTTGTATCCTTCGAGATACAGGGGCTGCGCAGTCCTTTTTATTGGAAGGACTTCTGCCTTTGTCTGATAGAACTGCTACTGGAACTCACGTACTAGTTAGAGGGTTTGAGATGGGGTTTATGGAAGTTCCTTTACACCGCATACATCTCGCTTCAAAATTGGTGTCAGGTAATGTTATCGTTGGAGTTCGTGCTGTGCTTCCTGTTCCTGGTGTCACTTTTATACTTGGCAATGATTTAGCAGGGGGAAATGTGTGGGAAAAGTCAGATGGTGGAGTTCCACCTATAGTGGTTCCTGATGTAGGAAAAATAGATTACTCCCCTGACTGTCCTAACTTATTCCCTGCATGTGCGATAACCCGAGCCAAGGCCAAGAGAATGATATCAGACGAAAGGGAAAGTATTCTTGGTGATGCTTTTATTTCCTCTGTGAATTCTTCCCAGCCAGAACGCAATACTGTGTGCACTAGTATTGAGGATGAGACCCCTGTGTCTGAGTTACCATCTGTCATTGACAATGTGGAAAAATCTGATTCCCAGCCTGAAAGTCCATTTTATTGTGATGACCATGTTAATGCTTGTTCTTTATCTCCACTGTATAATGTAACTCGAGATGAATTAATCCGAGAACAGCAGTCAGATTGCACCCTCCAAGATCTGTTTTCTTTGGCGAAAGAAGGAAGGGGTGAACCGAATTCACTTCCTGTCTACTTTCTTTGGGACGGATTGTTCTGTAGGCAACAACCTATGTGTTCTGACGGTTTAATAGACCCTAGGATTCAAATTGTGGTTCCAGTTATTTTTCGACAAGCAGTTCTGCAGTTATCTCATGAAGGTGTCGCTGGTCATATGGGTGTACGAAAGACCTATGATAGAGTTTTGAGAAAATTCTATTGGCCTAGAATCAAGCGAGATGTAATTAATTATATACGGTCTTGTCATACGTGTCAAATGACCGGGAAGCCAAACCAGAAAATTCCATTGGCTCCGTTACAGCCTATTGTTGCTGTTACAACTCCTTTTGAACATTTAATTATCGATTGTGTTGGTCCTTTACCGCGATCCAAAGCTGGACATGCTTATTTATTGACTGTAATGTGTCAGTCCACACGCTATCCTGCAGCCTATCCCTTGAGATCGATTACTACTAAATCGATTTTAAAGGCTCTAACAAGCTTCATGTCTATTTTTGGGATTCCGAAAAATATTCAGTCTGATCAGGGCTCGAACTTCATGTCTCGACATTTCTCTAAAGTCATGCGACAACTTAAAGTAACGCATAACATCTCAAGTGCTTATCATCCTCAGAGTCAGGGGGCGTTAGAAAGATTCCATCAGACCCTGAAGTCACTTTTGAGATCTTATTGTGTTGAACTAGATTGTGACTGGGAAGAGGGACTTCCTTGGTCTCCTCTTTTTGATACTGACAGAAATGTAAAGTTTAGAGAGATGTCTTTTCAAGAAAAGCAGCTACAGATTGATGTGGAAAAGCTTCGTGCTGAACGTGACGCCTGTGCTTTGAAAGAGAAAGAGTTAGAGAGCGATGTTGAGGTAAAGAAATTACAACAACAGTTTGAGATGCGAAAATTGGAGTTGCAGTTTGAAAAAGAAAGGGAAGAAAGGCAGTTTCAGTTGAGGAAACTTGAGTTAGAAATGACTGCGAAAACTGTTGAAACTCCACTGTCTGTATCATCTAATGAATCAGTCTCTGCGGCACCTGGTTTTGATGTTTTTAAAAACATTAGAATGGTACCGCCGTTTTCTGAGAGGGAGGTAGAGAAATATTTTTCTAATTTTGAACGTGTCGCCGAGTCGCTGAAATGGCCCAGAGAATTTTGGACATTATTGTTGCAATGTGTGTTAACGGGGAGAGCACAGGAAGTTTATTCAGCGCTGACTGTTGAGCAAAGCGGTGATTACGAAATTGTTAAATCCGCACTATTGCAAGCATATGAATTGGCACCTGAGGCATATCGTCAGCGATTTAGAAGTTTTTTCAAATTTGAGAAGTGCACTTATCTTGAATTTGCTAGAGAAAAAGAAAACATGTTTGATCGTTGGTGTACCTCGATGAAAGTAACCACTAAAGAACCGCTTAGAGAACTGATTCTTTTGGAAGAGTTTAAACATTGCGTACTGAATGCTGTCGCTATGTATTTAAATGAGGAAGTTTATTCAGCGCTGACTGTTGAGCAAAGCGGTGACTACGAAATTGTTAAATCTGCACTATTGCAAGCATATGAATTGGTACCTGAGGCATATCGTCAGCGATTTAGAAGTTTTTTCAAATTTGAGAAGTGCACTTATCTTGAATTTGCTAGAGAAAAAGAAAACATGTTTGATCGTTGGTGTACCTCGATGAAAGTAACCACTAGGGAACAGCTTAGAGAACTGATTCTTTTGGAAGAATTTAAACATTGCGTACCGAATGGTGTCGCTATGTATTTAAATGAGCATAAAGTGAGTAAATTGTCGGATGCTGCTCTCATGGCCGATGAATTTGTTCTTACTCATAGGGGTTCGACTAGCCATTTAAATGATTTGCATAGACCTAAGATGAGTGTCTTTGGAAAGAGCAAAGCGACTATGGTACGTCAGAATGTTATTTCTAGTTCTTCCACTGATCATGCTGTTGCTAATACGCGTATAAAAGGAGAGATTGTTTGCTTTTATTGTAAAAAGGCAGGACATAAAATTTCTGATTGTGCTGTTCTTAAGAAAAAGGAGAGAGTTGCTAAAACTGTCGGATTAATTTCTGCATGTGCGAATCATAGCTCTGCCCAATCTGTAAAAAAACAGCCTAAGCAGAGGGATATCTCTGAGGTGGAGATTGAGGATGTTAAGAGTCATGATGATTATGCACCATTTCTTACAGAGGGGACTGTGTCTTTGCCTGGTTCTGAGAAGACCATTTCTGTTTGTATCCTTCGAGATACAGGGGCTGCGCAGTCCTTTTTATTGGAAGGACTTCTGCCTTTGTCTGATAGAACTGCTACTGGAACTCACGTACTAGTTAGAGGGTTTGAGATGGGGTTTATGGAAGTTCCTTTACACCGCATACATCTCAACAGGTAATGAGATGTATCTCTCCAACGACGTCAGGTAATGTTGTCGTTGGAGTTCGTGCTGTGCTTCCTGTTCCTGGTGTCACTTTTATACTTGGCAATGATTTAGCAGGGGGAAATGTGTGGGAAAAGTCAGATGGTGGAGTTCCACCTATAGTGGTTCCTGATGTAGGAAAAATAGATTACTCCCCTGACTGTCCTAACTTATTCCCTGCATGTGCGATAACCCGAGCCAAGGCCAAGAGAATGATATCAGACGAAAGGGAAAGTATTCTTGGTGATGCTTTTATTTCCTCTGTGAATTCTTCCCAGCCAGAACGCAATACTGTGTGCACTAGTATTGAGGATGAGACCCCTGTGTCTGAGTTACCATCTGTCATTGACAATGTGGAAAAATCTGATTCCCAGCCTGAAAGTCCATTTTATTGTGATGACCATGTTAATGCTTGTTCTTTATCTCCACTGTATAATGTAACTCGAGATGAATTAATCCGAGAACAGCAGTCAGATTGCACCCTCCAAGATCTGTTTTCTTTGGCGAAAGAAGGAAGGGGTGAACCGAATTCACTTCCTGTCTACTTTCTTTGGGACGGATTGTTCTGTAGGCAACAACCTATGTGTTCTGACGGTTTAATAGACCCTAGGATTCAAATTGTGGTTCCAGTTATTTTTCGACAAGCAGTTCTGCAGTTATCTCATGAAGGTGTCGCTGGTCATATGGGTGTACGAAAGACCTATGATAGAGTTTTGAGAAAATTCTATTGGCCTAGAATCAAGCGAGATGTAATTAATTATATACGGTCTTGTCATACGTGTCAAATGACTGGGAAGCCAAACCAGAAAATTCCGTTGGCTCCGTTACAGCTTATTGCTGCTGTTACAACTCCTTTTGAACATTTGATTATAGTGTTGATCGTGTTGGCTCCGCAGAGTTCGTCAGTAAATTCGACCTTCTGAAAGGCTATTGGCAAGTGCCTTTGACATCTCGTGCGAAGGAATTATCTGCTTTTGTTACACCTGACAGGTTCCTGCAACACACCGTTATGCCTTTTGGGGTCCGAAATGCTCCCGCCACATTTCAGCGGTTGGTAAATCGAGTACTGACTGGGTTGTCAGGGTGCGAGGCTTACTTGGATGTTGTTTTGTTTAGTTCTTCTTGGTCCGAACATCTTGACCAAATTAAAGAGTTTTTTGTACGTCTTGCTAAAGCCAATTTAACCATTAACCTTGCCAAGTGCGAGTTTGGGAAAGCCACTGTGACCTATTTGGGTAAGGTGGTTGGTCGCGGTTGTGTAAAACCAATTGATGCTAAAGTCGATGCTATTGGTAAATTCCCTAGACCTGCTACCCGTCGTGAACTCCGTAGATTCCTAGGAATGGTAGGATACTATCGAGGGTTTTGTCAGAATTTTGCGAATGTAGTTACTCCTTTGACTGATTTGTTGAGTCCAAACAAACCATTTAAGTGGTCAGAACAATGCCAGTGTGCTTTTAATAATGCTAAAGCCCTTTTAGCCAACGCACCTGTGCTTGTTGCACCTGATTTTAAGAGGTCTTTTCTCCTTGCAGTTGATGCCAGTGCTTATGGTGCCGGTGCTGTTCTTTTGCAGGAAGATGTTGATGGAATTGAACATCCGGTTAGCTATTTTTCTAGAAAATTTAACCGCCATCAGCAGGTTTATTCCACTATTGAAAAAGAGGCCTTAGCCCTGGAGTTGGCTGTTCAACATTTTGAGGTCTACTTGAGCTCAACTTGTGGTCCTATCATAGTGTATACTGATCACAATCCTTTGACCTTCCCTCTCTCTGTCTCTCTTTGATATCCTACGGCCCAGGAGATCCAGGAGTGAAATGGAACGGGATTGCAGAGATGAGTATCAATGGCCTTTTAAATTTTTTTTTTTTTGTGATTTATGCATTAATCTTGTTTTATTTATTCTTTTTTTGTCGGCTCTTTAGGGAACCTCTTTTTGGTGTGGGAGGTGTGACGACCCTGAGTGTTCTCCTTACCTGTTGGTGGCAGATTGTGGGAGTTTTGTGTTACTCCCCCATGTTAATTAATCAATTAATGATAAGTAGGGGTGTAGACTATATAGGGACTTCAGATTGTTCATTGAGGTTAGCACTCCTGGAGGGATAGTTCTCCCAGGAGCAGCTCTTGACCAGAATGTGACATCGCTCTGATTTATATGATCTTTTTATGTTTTTTTTTTTTTTTGTATCATGTAGCTTTAGGATTTTGTTACTGTTATTTTGTTATTTCTTTTGGTTCTCTATTTTTCCCTAGACTTATGTTTTCTTTTTGGGCTTATTGTTATATTTGTTAAAGAAAATAAATCAATTTGTATTGATTGAACGGTGGTGTGTGATCCCTCTTTTATGTTGTGGCTTGTAACGAGCTGGCCGTAACAATGGTCTCTGATCTCTTGTCAGATGTTCTCTAAACTCTTCAGGCATAATAGGTGAAGACTCAGAGCTGTTCTCTTGGCAAAAGGAGGTTCCAAAAAGTATTGGATAAAAGGGTATGATTAATTGTGACCAATGTGTATTAGAGAAAAACATTTATTTCATAATCAGATTTCTCTCCCATTTTAAATTCTTATTCTCCAATGAAATGTTAGATTTTAGAAAATTTTTAAAATAAAATATCTAAAGGACTGATGATACAAATTAATTTTCACAGCCTTCTTTGATCATATTTACCAAGGGTATGAATAATTGAGCACAACTGTAGAAAGAAATGAACAGCACTTTTCGAAAAATATTGATTGAAATCATAAACATCATGTTTTATTTTACATGGAGTGGGTTGCCTCACGGGGGCAGTCATTTTGAAATCACAAGACCAATGTTATTATTGTTAACTAAAATTAAAACTAATTAAATCATTTTCAGTAATTGAAATAAAGCTAAAATAAAATATAAATACTTTAAACTTAAATCTTGAATGAAAATTAGACATGTTGATTTGGCAACTAACTGAAATAAGTGATGTTAAAGTTGAAAGACTAAAATTAAGCTTAAGTAAAATTATGTTTAAGTAAATTAAACCAAACTAGAAATATTAAACATGAATAAAAATGACAAAACATAAATTTACTTAAGCTTAAAAGAAAATGTAAAAATTAAAGCTAATGCAAAAAAATATTCATAAGAATATTAATAATAATAATAATTAATATATAATACTAAAATAAAAATACTAATATAACATTTCACAAGACTTGGGAAAGCTTTGTTGCACAAGACTTTTTTGCGTTTTGTTTTGTGGTACTAATTTTGTATATTATTATTATTATTAAATATAATAAATTATTATAATTATAAAATAACAATTTATTTTAATTTATTTAGTTTTGAGAGATTCTTGTTGGGTGTATTGATAATCGTTTGTGGTGTTTTTTTTTCAATAACTGTTGAGGGAGAAATCCTAAATGGTAAAAGCCAAATAAACATAGTAAGTTTATACTTTCCAGTCTTCAATAATAATCAGTTTAATTCGCTTTCACAAGATTCTCAGTTGTTGACCGCCAGTGTGTGAACTCTTGAAAGTGTAAAGCTGTGTTTGAGTTCAGTGAAGTACATGAGCTGTGTCTGGAGAACTCATAAATCCTCAGTGTTGTGTGGTGAACTGCAGATATGCCTCAAGGGCAGACACACATGGGACTGACAATGTTTCAGTACAACTGAATTTGCAGACATGGACATACGCTTCAGCCTGTCCTTTCTCCTCAGCAGCAAGAAACCCCATAATGCATGATGCCACCTGAGCCCAACATTGCTCCTGCCCTGAAGTAAACAAACAAACACAAAAAGCTGAAATCAATGTGTCTTCCTCTACTCCCTAAAGCAAAGCATCTTCATAATGCATTGATAATGCATGAAGCTCCACAGGCTCAGAGCAGGTGGTGGGACACTGAATCCTCCCCCTGGGCTTCTCCTACATTACAGACACAAGGTTTCCAGTCTTTCCCTGGAAAGCATAGGTCTACTGCTCGATTCCTCCTATTACTCATCCCCTGGAGTTATACATCGCTCAGTAATAATCAATACTTCTAAAACTGAAACTATATGAATCTTTTCACTCTGTAAACACTTCTCTGTTGTAGCGAATCAGCTCATGGGGAAATATGAATAATTAATTTTGAGATACTGGGGAGTTTTTATGACCCTTTGTGTGAGGGCATGGTAATTTGCAAATGGAACTTGAATCGAAATTACTAAAGATTCTCAGGACTAATATATTGCCTATGTACCAACATGTAATATACACGCTTGTTTCGCTCATCAGAAGGCGAATTCATAGATACTAAACATGGTAGGATTACATATAGGCAGGATGACAGGAATGGGTTCCATCATAAGCATGCATAAAATAGTCTAAAAATATCAAAGACAACATACACCATGACCTGAAGGATACACTGTTCATTCAAAGAAAGGTTTTCCTATGAATTAATTAGTAGAAAAGTCCATTTCTACTGTGCCTTGTGCCTCTTGCGATGGAACATGCAGTGATTTTCCCTGCTTCGCATTCCATTAGGTCGTAAATGTATCTGGTGTCAGGGTTGCCATGGTAACCAGGGTCCTGGGCCCTGTTCACAGACAACTTGGCACCCAGTATGTTTATTGGGTGAGGGGTCTGTGAACGTTTGTTAATCTAATGAATAATTGATTTGTTAAATCAAATGAAAAATTGTGTTTTTGATTGGTCCAGACGCTACACTGTGTTGAGAAGTATTTCTATAAAAGACTTCACCAGACTTTCTGAAACAGTCTGGTCAAGCTCAGACATTCCAACTTTATTATTTACAAAATGACAAGAAATTTAACCTAAAAATAAAGGGCTAAAGTTAGACATTGGGCAGTGAGGGATTGAAAAGTAGCTTACGTCAGGATGTCAACTTAAAGTTCCTTGTGCTATTTTTTGAGCATCATTTTTTAAATTTTGATTATATAAAACCGCTTTCTGTAATCGTATTAAATGTATAGAATGTTTTAAAATTCAGTAAACCAAATTAACACAAAACAATAGAGTCAATCTATTGCTAATACATATGTTTGTGATGTTGTTTTACCATCATAATGTCACTTGTCACAAAAAAAATATTAAGGCATATTATGTTAAAAATGTGGTAAAAATAAAAAGATATATATACATATTTTTTATAATAATTATACAACTTAATTGTATAACTTTCAGATTTTAAACCAAGATATGTAAATATTATATATTTATAATGGGATTAAAAAAAAAAATCAGCTTACCATTTATGTAATGTAACATACTGTATAACAATATAATTATTTTGTGAGGAATTATGAAAATAGACTGCATGTGTTTCACCGATTCCAGTACAACCTCCTGATCAAAGTGGCTCCAAATGGTCTGAGAAGAAACAGTGACGAATGAATGAACTGAAAAGCAATAGTAGCAAATGACACACATAGACACAGAGGAAATATCTTGATGTACTTTTATTAAAAGTCTATTTACAGAAATGAAGAGTCGTGATTCATTCTGTGTCGTCTTTCGCTATGTTCCCGTAGAGCACGTCTCCAATGAGTTTCCGAACAGCTACTGTATCACTGATATCTGTAAGGTGCACAAACACACACACCCAGAGTTTTTATGCTCATTTGGTGATGATTCTCAGGTTTCCTGCAGGATGCAAAACACTGAAGATGGTGTAGAAACAAACCAAAGCATATTTCAAGCCTGCATGTGTGTGCATGTGGGTGTTATGAATAGAAATGTGCCGAAAGCACTGCGTAAATTAATTATAAATTCAAAAAATGGGCACGAACTGAGCCCTTTTTGTTGTCAGAATCCATTTTAGATTAATCGAAGATATTTTGGAAATGCCACGAGGAACATTCATCAGAGCTCCAAAAAGCCTTAATACTAATTAATGCTTTTTAAAATATCCCTTTGAATACATTTGCATAAAATAGTTATTTTACAGATTCAGTAAAATTCAACTAAAACAAACTCTCCAATTTACTGCTACTTAATATTTGATAAACCCATATTTTTTTAAATGTTCCCTCTGGGAATCAAAAAGTCAGTAATTAACCTAGAAATAAAAGCTGTCTTGAACAGAAAAAAACATCTGTTAAACATTCCAAAATTGACTATAAGTATAAATAATATAATATAACATAACAGAATAGAAAAAAAAGGATAGAATTTACATATTACCCATTTATTGGTAAACACATTGACCTTATGTGCCTAGTTTGGCATGAATCTCCACCTACAGTTTATCCTACAATCATCACGAATCGTCTACCAACTATACCTCTCCATCTTTCGTGATTCCTCTCACCTGCAGGCGTTCAGAGCGGCTGCGTCCCGTGGCACGGTAAGCTAATCACGCTTTGAAAATCACGTTGTGGGAGCACATCAGACTCAGAAGATGAATAATTAACAGTGGCCCCAGGAAGTCAAGCTAGCTTTTCATTAACAACTGTGCATGTGGCAGGAGTCTGAGTGAGCAGAATGACCTGACCCCCTTCGGCCCAGTCAAACGCAAATTGTGCCGCGTCTCAAGAAATTGAAATGATGTGGCACAAGAACACGAGTTCAAGGGTCTCTTCAGCCTCTGCGGTGGAATTCGCACTTAAACACTTTCAGAAGAACAACATCTGTGCAGGGTTATTTTTACACCAGAGATCTTTTTGTATGCCAGGTTGCCATTTTACACAGGAAAATTCTAGACTAGAGTTTTAAATTAGTATTGATTCATAATATAATCTCTCTTAACCATTATCGGTCATAGTTTCAACACTAA